GGCCTGCAGAATGTGTGTGCATAGGTTAAACAAAGGGGTGCTCAGCAGTGGGGCAAAGCAGTCCAGGAATGCTTGAACAACTAAAAGAAGCCAGAATCTGGAGTTTCTAGAATAAAGAGGCCAGAGGGATGAGGTGATGTTGGAGGACCAAGCACCAGTTCCCATGGCAGAGGGCTTCTGATGCCATAGTAAGGGTCTTGGGTAGCTACTGAAAAGATTTGAAGACGAGCAGAGCCTTTGAAAGACTGCTACAGCTTCAGTGAGAAGGAGGCAGTGATTAGTTGGGGGATGTCTTGGTCCATTTTGTGTTGCTGTGACAGAATACCTGCCCCTGGGTTATTTATAAAAAAAAAAAATTATTCTCACAGTTCTGGAGGTTGCAAAGGTCAAGAGCACAGCATTGACATCTGGAAGGGGCCTCTGTGCTACTCTGTGCATGGCAGAAGGGCAAGAAAGCATGTATCAGAGAAAAGCAAGAGAGGGCTGAACTTGCTATTATAGCAACCCTCTCCCTTTGTACCTGAGATAGTGGCGTTAATCCATTCATGAGGGCAGAACGCTCATGGCCTGATCACCTCTTAAAGGCCCACCTCTTAATACTAATAGAAGGGCAATTAAATTTCAACATGATTAATTTTTTAATTTTTTATTTCTTTTGATGGAGATGGACACAATAATTTTTATATTCTTTATGTGATGCTGAGAACTGAATCCAGAGCCTCACGGGTGCTAGGCAAGCGCTCTACCACTGAGCCACAGCCCTAGCCCTCAACATGAGTTTTGAAGGGGACTTCACAACATAGCAGGAGGTTGTTGCCATCTGACAGGAGAGAGAGGCTGGTGGAGGCAGCAAGAATGACAGTAGTGGGGCTGTGAAGGAGTGGGTGGGGTCAAAACAGATCTAGGAGGGGAAACAGAATTTGATGATTGATGATTGGATGTGGAGGGTGAGAGGAAAGAAATCAAGCTTTCTGACTTGAACAAAGTTTTTTTTTTTTAATATTTTTTTAATTGTCAATGGATATTTATTTATTTATCTATTTATATGTGGTGCTGAGGATCGAACCCAGTGCCTCACACATTCCAGACAAGTGCACTGCCGCTGAGCCACAGCCTCAGCCCCTTGAACAAAGTTTTGATAAAGAGAAATGGAAACAGATTTGGGTGAATGGATTGATGAGATGATGGATCTAATTTTAGGGTGTTGAAATAGAAGCAAGCACATGTGTCCATCTAGCATTTGGATTATAAGGGTCTGAAGCTCAGCCAAGTGTAGTCAACAATATAATTAATATAATTTCTTTAGTCCCCAAATGAGCATTTTTCACCTTTACTTTCTAAAAGTAAAATGTGTCTTAAAATAATTTGTCTGTTAAAAACGTTTTTTCTTCTGAAAAAATATTATTAAATTAATGATAAACTATCATAAAATGAGAATGTCCTATAAAAACCTCATTAATTTGTACTTAATGGTGTTTTGAGAAATCAGAGGAGACTTTAAAACATCCTTTGGTCTGGAAGAAAGATAATTAACAAAGGCAAAACTCAGCACTAGCACTGAATTTTGGCACAAATGCCAAATCGGTAAAGTCCAACTTAATGAGGCTTTACCACAACAGTTAGCAGGCTTGAAGTGTTTGCTCTTTTTAAGTCAGTCCAAATCATTCCTTCCTCCCTTTCTACCTCCAACACAATTTTGTTTACACCATTAACTTGATTAGCAGTCTCTGTCTACATATTACAAATGTATGCTTTGTCAACCTTGGATAGAATAATGTGCCTAGGAACTTCAGAGTGTTTTTCTGAGCATAAAATGCTGCCTCTTTTAGTGTAATTGTGGCAGGGTTCATTGCCCCCACGCTCGGCCACCTAGGTGGGAGAAGATTTATAGAAAGAGAAAACTTAGTTTAGCAAAAGAAATTTCAGACAACCTTTTCTGAAATTTTATATCATCTACTGACTCTAAGGTATTTTTTGGCCAATTACCATATTATTTTCATTATTAATTTAATATTCATAAGGGCATGTATAACTGTTTCAACTAGATTTTTCACCTGGTAAGGGAGGAAACACTTATAGCTACTCTTGGGAAGGTTTTTTTTTTTTTTTTTCCCATGCTGGAAATTAAACCCAGGGCCTCATACAAACTAGGCCAGTGTTCTACCACTGAGCTACCCTCTTTAATCTCTAGCTTCAGGCTTTTTACTGACTTTCTGCTCCCTTCCTTCTAGTCCTACCTTAATTGGGTTCTCTAACTAAGATCCTTTAGGTATCTAAAGACTAAAACACTGGTATAACAAAGGCACAGGAGACTTTAAAAAACAAACCTTTAATTATTAACTTGTTCTATGAAACTGGTATTACCTTAAGACCAAAATCAGATAAAGGTATTACAAGAAAGAAAAACTACAAACCAATATCTCTCATGAACATAAATGCAAACATTCTCAAAATATTAGCAAATCAAATCCAACAATGTATAAAAATGTATACACTGTGGACAAGTGAGATTTATTCCAATTATGCATGGCTGGTTCAACATTTGAGAATTAGTCAATATAACGCACCACATCCACAGGCTAAAGAAGAAAAATTATGTGATCATATCAATTGATAGAGAAAAATCATTTGACAAAATGCAACACCCATATTATGATAAAACCTCTCAGCAGACTAGGAACATAGAGGAACTTTCTCAACTTGATAAAGAACATCTACAAAAAAACATAGATAGCATCATAATTAATGATGAGAATCTGTATGCTTCCCCACTAATATCAGAATAAAGGCAAGAACAGCCTTTCTTGCTGTTCCTAATCAACAATGTACTAGAAGTCATAGCCAGTAGTGTAAGACAAAGAAATAAAATGTATATAGATTAAGAAGGAAAAATTAAAACATACCTTTATTAAGAAGTAAAGAGAGACATTTGAGGTCTCTTTTAGAATCTGTAGACTTTTCTTACTGCATATTTTCTTTCTATTTCAAACATGTCTTATCTTTATTATTGCTTTCCTTCTAATTCCTCTGGATTTAATTTGCTGTTCTTTTGTAACTTCTTAAGATCGAAGTTTAGACCCTAGGCCATTAACACTCCTGTATCTAGACGTTTTTCATGTTTTCATTATTATTTAGTTTAATTTTTTTCTGATTTCACTGCAATTCTTTTCAGCCCTACAAACTATTAAAAAATATGTTGCTTAATTTCCAAATGTTTTTTTAAATTTTCTTTTGTAGTTGTAGATGGACAGAATACCTTTATTTTATTTGTTTATTTTTATGTGGTGCTGAGGATTGAACCCATTGCCTCACGCATGCTAGGCAAGTGCTCTGCCACTGAGCTACAGCCCCAGCCCAATTTCCAAACATTTTTAAATACATATTTTTATTAGTTACTGATAGATCTTTATTGTATTTATTTATATATATGCGGTGCTGAGGATCGAACCCATTGCCTCACACATGGTAAGCAAGTGCTCTACCACTGAGCCACAGCCACAGCCCCTCAATTTCCAAACATTTTATGGGAGTTTTCTGGTTTTCTTTTTTCTTATTCATCTCTAGTTTGGTTCCATTACAGCCAGAGAGCATACTTTGTATGATTTCAAATTTGTGAGACTTGTTTTTTGGCTTAGCATATGGTCTATTTTGACAAGTGTTCATGTGCTACTGAAAACAATGTATATTTTGCAGTTGAGTATAGTATTCTATATATTTCAATTGGGTCAACTGCCTTGTTCAAATCTTCTTCATCTTTACTGATTATTTATCATTTGTTCCACAGATATTGAAAGAGTGCTAAAATTTCCAATCATGACTGGGGATTTATCAAAATTTCCTAGTTTGTTCACTTTGCCTAATGTATATTCAAATTATGCTATTTTTTATAAATTATTTACATATTATAAGATTTTAGTTGCATGCAAATTTAGATTGTTTGATTTTACTGTTAATTGATCCTGTATCCTTATGAGATTCCCTCTTTATCTCTAGAAATATTTCTTGCCTCAATGTCTATGTTGTCTGCTATTAATTTCTTTTGCTTTATGTGGCTTATTTTTTTCCATTCTTTTTCTTGATGACTTTGTGTCCTCATATTTAAGTTGAATCTCCTCTAAACAACATATAGAGTCTGCTTTTATATCCAAAAGAAATTTTGGTCTTTTAATTGATAATCCATTAACACTTAATGTAATTAAAGCTGTGCATGGTGTATATGTCTGAAATCCAGCTACTTGGACAGCTGAGGCAAGAAAAGCCCTTGGACCCATGACTTTGAAACCAGCCTGGGCAACAGAGCAAGACCCCATCTCAACAAAAACAAGAAAAACATTTAATGTAACTAGTAAAATATTTATGTGTAAATTTATTCTTTTATTTATTTCTATTTCTACCTTTTATTTCATTTATCTTCCTTTTGGGGGAAGGGAAGATTCAATTATTTTTTATTATTCCCTTTTTTGTCCTATTGTAGCATATTGGTTATGAACTTTATGAGGCTCTGGATTATTTTATGTTCTCCTAAAATGGAGGCAGACAGAATGCAGGTGGGTCACCTTAATCCTGTTAAGCTAGGTTTGAAGCTTTATTAAGTTAAGTCTGTTTCATTTTTGCCTTTGTTACCAGGCTGTAGTCTTTGGGGGATCTCAACTAGAAATGTGGGTGTTGCTATTCCACCTGGGTGGGCCTCCTAGCACTCTCTTCAGTAGCTAGGAGCTGCAAAAAACCTTTGCATAGCTCTTCAGCCTCCCAAGATGCTGCCTTCTCTTCCTTTTCTTGCAGCCTCTGCCTGTGCTTGCTCAGCTTAGAAGTTGGCAAACATCTCAAGGAGGGAGTTTGGGGTTTGCTTCTCTGCAGTACTTCTCTCTGGGATTTTATTACCACCACAGCCTAGCCACATTAGCAGCTTTGAACAGCACTCTGTCTCTTCAGCTCAGTGGAACTGCTGCTTGCTCTATTTCCTGCCCTATGAATTGGGCCAGGGTGAATATGAAGCTTACTTGGATGTGGCTGCTTTGTCTTAGACATCATCTTCATTCGTCCCTTTCCAGTGCCTTCAACTGATTATACGATGTGTTTTAACCACCTGTGTCGGATGTTTCCAGCAGGAGTGTCAGCTCAGTATAAGCTCCTCTGTTATCGTTGTAATCAGAAGTCTTCTTCTTTCATAATTTGGCACACTATACATCACAAATTTTTAAAAAGAACTCCAGAGACTGAAATAAAGAAAATACAAAAGTAAAAAGTAAATTAAAGGCTATAGAACTTTAGTCCTAAGACCATCCTCAAGTCTTTCAGGCTCAGTATTATGCATCGAACACATGCCCTTCCTTTCTCATCTTCAGTTATGTTCTTTAACAAGAATTTTGTACTTGCACTAAGAAAGCTGAGGTTTGTTCTCTAGATTTATATATATATATATATATATATATATATATAAATATAAATGTGATCCTGAAGGAGATCAGAGAAGGTACTGGAGAATGAAATTGATCGAGTCATATTATGTGCATGCACAAGTATGGCAGAGTGAATCCCACTATTATGAATAATTGCAATGCATGCATAAATTAATTAATTAATTAAAGAAGGTTGGACTGAGAGCTAGGAGGCTTGAGTTCAAGGCTACCATTTGTTTCTGGCATGAACTATCACTGTTTTACAATAATCCCTTTTATTTACAGGGGTTCCAAGATTCCCCAATGGATGCTTGAAACTGCAGAACAGTATATACAGACCTATGATAAAATTCAACCTATAAAATACACACAGTATACTGTATGTTTATATTAATATAAACTAATTACATTAATTTAACTAAAAATAAAATGGAATTATAAAAATATGCTATAATAAAAGTTATATGAGTATTTTTAAAGATGTGATCCTAGACAAACCTCTTCCTTTTCCCACTTTGGTTGTATTATTAGTCAAGGAGGATGGTCATTAATGCCTGCTTAACCTTAAGTTCTTTTAGGAGCAAGCAGAACGTAAGTTGAGTAAGGAAACACCACATAAAGTGGCTTCCCCATCTTCCTAACAGTGTTGTATGAGATCAGCTTAGCCCTGAAGGCAAGGTTCAAGGGGTGCTTACCCATAGGGATGTAGGTGAGTTCAAATTTGACAGTTTCTTCTCATGCTCTATTTTTCTTTATTTCCCTTAATTAGAGCTGTGGATTAGATAAAACTGTGACCGATTTTTCCTGCCCAGTCTAGGTCAAATGGTCCTGCTTAACCTCTAGAATAAAAGAGAACGCAGGTGTTTGAGTGGGATGCTGGTTTTGGCAGAGCAGGCTGGCCTGGTGGGCTGACTGGAGAAGACTCCCTGTGGACAGGCTAGAGAGGAACCCAAATGATCAGAAAGGTTTGGGTCAGTGTGCAATCTGAACAAGAAGGGCCAGAAATGTGATTCAAAACTGAATGGCATTAAGCTTAAATAGCCAGATTGGTGTGCTCTTGTGATTGGAATGACCTAAAACTACTGAATTATTGAACCTGACAGGACTGAGCTTCAGAGGCACAATCTCACTTTGTCTCTGATTACCTTTTCTGGGATTTACCTCTGTCCAGTCCCCTGCTGGTGGTCATATTGTCCTTTATGTATTTTACCTGGATGATGTTCTTGTTGTTGGTCACTTCATGGTCCCCTCACATCTTTGCACACAGACTTTATGTTCTCATTGACAGCTTGGCTCTTAGAGGATGGCTTCCTATTTCTGACTTTGAGGTAAAGATCTTGTTATAAACCCCATGTTCTAATTGCACGATGAATCTCATAAACTTATCTCCTGACCTTCACACCAGTCTGGAAGGTCATCACTTTCATTCCAAAGACATGGAAACTGGGGGGTCACAAAGGCTAAGGTATCTGCCCAAGGTCACAAAGCTTAATGTTTTTCAGAGCTTGTGTTCAAATTCAGGTCTGAAGCCCCAAACTCAGAGATCTGCCTGCTGCTCCTGCTGCTGAATGAGTAAATTCCCCGGAATCCTGAAGCCATCTGTAGAGAAAATGGAAACCAGAGGGGAAAAAAAATTGATATAGTCAAAGAATTCCCTAGTCTAACATTCTTTCATATGCCGTAATTTATGTTCCTCCTCCTAGAATTCCATTTGTTCATGTTTACTGAACACTTGGTATGTGCTAAGAACATAAGAACACAAGACATAGTCTAGTAAAGTATAAATTGGTACAGCCTCTAAAGATGGTAATTTAACGGTATTTTTCATCTTCTAAATATTCATAACTTTTGATCAGCAATTCTACTTTAGGAATTACACATATGCATAAAGCCTACAGTCTAATTAATGGGAATATTGACAAATACATAAACACATGCAAAGTATATGATCCTAAATTGAGATAAATATATGATGAAGGAAAAACAGTGGTCTATCAGTCAGGGTTCTACCAGAGAAACAGAGCCAATATTTACATATACATGGCAGGTAGGGAAAGAGGGAGACAAGAGATGGCTTAGGTAGTTGTGGGGCTGGCTAGGCAGATCTGAAGTCTGTTGGGCTAGGAACTCAAGCAAGAGCTAAAGTTAAAAGGGGGAATTTCTTCTTTCTCAGGAAAACTTCAGTTCTGCTCTTTAGGCCCTTAAGTTGATTGATTGGAGCCTCTTCATATTAACAAGAATAATGTCCTTTCAGACTGGAGTCATTTGAAGCTGATGTTAATCACACCTAATCTTCACAGCCACACCTAGATTAGCGTTTGCTTAAAGAACTGGGCACTAAAGGCTGGCCATGTTGACATAGCAAACAACAGGAGAGGGCTAAAAACACATTGCTTCAGAAACAGAAAATCTAATCCAACTGCCTTAAACAATAAGGAAATGTGTTGGCTTATGGGACAAGAAATCCAGAAAGTGGCTGACTGCTTTGGCTCTGACCATTCTGAGGGCCTTGAGCTCAGGCTGCTTAACAAGATGGCTGCCGCAGTTTCCAGGCCTCATCTCTCACATAAGGGAGAGAGTAAACATCACTCCCTGGGACTGGGAAGATTTTTCAGATGCCTCCAGCAAACCTCTTTTCACATCTCATTAGCCCAAATTGGGTCTCTAGTCCTTATTTGGGCCAATCGCTCTGACTGGGGAATGGCGTGCACCAACAGGCTTGGTGTTGAGGGACTAAGTCCCCAGTGAGAGGAGTGGGTGACTGTGATTCCCTCAGGCCAGGACCTCCTCTACTTTTTACAAATAAAAGTGCTTGTACAAACAGGAACAGCTCAAAGCAGCCCTCCTAGGGCTCCAGATGGCCCCACCATCCCTGGCTGTCACAAGGGATAAATATCTTTGCACACCGATGGGTGGAAGCTCATTTAGTGAGTTAGACAAATTCCTCCTCTTAGGAATAAGATCCGTTCCCAAATAATGAGGCTTCTACCCAATGGGGGAGTGAGCAGAATGGCTATTGAGAAGACATGGGTAGTAAGGAGAAGGTCCAGCAATCCTAGATGTTTCCTAGGGTTCTGGTTTCAGTGACTGGGTAGATACCAGTGGTTTGCTACAGCTGTATTGTACCAGCACACAAAAGCCATTTACATGCACCTTGTCCTAACTCCATGTTTGGTGGTGGGAATATTTACACCACAGAAATTGACAGATGATATAAACCAGTGCTTTTTACAATGGGGGAGCGGGGGTTGGCTGTTACTCCTTTATCATCAGCAGAGCAGTGATAGTGCTATGCCCTGAATGACAGGTGTGCTGGACAGTCTTGGTCTTTAGTTCCCTGTTGGAATTCTGCACATCCTTTTCATGGTTATCGTTAAATTGAAGTGAAATTCATATTAACACAAAATTTGCCATTCTTTTCAATCTTTTAAAAGTCCACACAAGCTCATGTGTTATGGCCTCTTTACTGTTCATTATGATATCCTATTTTATTTTTGAGAAGGTAATACATGGATGTGATTCAAAATGCAGAAGGTACAAAGAAAGATACAATTCTAAAAAATCCCCCCAATTCTTTGCCCCAAACATCCAATTTTCTTTCCTAGAGAAAAACAATGTTTTTCTGCCTACTTCCAGAAAGTTACACAATAAACAAGTACATAAATATATAGAATGTCTTCAAACCCATAGGTGCACGCATGCACATACATACACATGTACACACACGGAAATATTGCCGTGACTTTGCTTTTCTTCATGTAACCAAGTACCTTGAAGATTGTTCCATATCATTACACAAAAAACTTCCTTATTCTCTTTTACAGCTGCGTAGTAATCCACATGCCAATAAACAGAGCTGTGGTGAATGCCTTTGTCCATACTTTCATTTATGTGTGGATATGTCTGGAGGGTAAAGTCCTATAGGTAAAACTGTTGGTCAAGGTTATGCACATTTAAAAGATAAAAGACATTGCTAAACTTCCTTCTGCCAAGATCATGCCCATTTATACGCTTACTGGCAATGGGGAAGAGGCTCGTTTCCCCTCAGCATGACCCAAAAAGTGCATTATCAAACTTTTTGTTCTTATTCATCTAATAGACAAAAATGATATATCATTGTAATTTAAATTTCCTTGCCTTTTTGAGTGGGATCAGTATCTTTTTTATATGTTCATGAGCCATTTCTATTTCCTTTCTAAGTGACAGCTTATATCTTTTCTCATCGCCCCCCCCCAAGGTATTTGGCCCTTTTTAGAAAATATTTTATTAATTAATTTATTTTTTGTTGTTGTTGTCAATGGACACTTGTTTTTTTTTTTATTTTATTTTACTGTGCTGAGAATTGAACCAGTGCCTCACACGTGCTAGGCAAGTACTACGCCACTGAGCCACAACCACAGCCCTGTATTTGGCCCTTTTTTAAAATTTTTATTTTATTACATTGTAGGAGCTCTTTTTATCTGAAAGAAGTTGCCCTTTGGTCTAAGAGTTGTAAACACTTTCTCCCCCATTTTTCATTTGTCTTTTGGTTTTATATCTGGTTGGTTTTCCCATGCAGTTTTTAAAAAATGTATAATTGAAACTATCAAAGTTTTCTTGTCTGGCTTCTTGGATTTATACTTAGGTCATGTCCTCACTCTCCCCCATGGGATTATATGGTTTCTTCAATATGTTCCTTATTCTAAAAACCGTCAAAAAATTTAATACTTCACAGAAGAAGAAATACAATCAATCAACAAATATATGAAAAAATATTCAACATTTCTAGCAAATAGAGAAATGCAAATCAAAACTACTCTAGGATTTCATCTCACTCCAATCAGAATGGTAATTATCAAGAATACAAGCAACAAAGAATGATGGTGAGTATGTGGAAAAAACAGTACACTTATACATTGCTGGTGGGACTGCAAAACGGTGCAGCCAATATGGAAAGTAGTATGGAGAATCCTTGGAAAACTGAGAATGGAACCACCATTTCACCCAGCTATCCCACTCCTCAGTCTATACCCAAAGGACTTAAAATCAGCATACTACAGTGACACAGCCACATCAATGTTTATAGAAGCTCAATTCACAATAGCTTAACTATGGAACCAACCTAGATGCCCTTTAACAGATGAATGAATAAAGAAAATGTGTATATATACACAATGGAATATTATTCAGCCTTAAGGAAGAATGAAATTATGACATTTGCAGGTAAATGGATAGAGATGGAGAATATCATGTTAAGCAAAAAAAAAAAAAAAAGCCAATCCCCCAAACCCAAAGGCCAAATGTTTTCTCTGATATGCAGACGCTAATTCACAATGTGTGTGTGTGTGTGGGGGGAGCGGGGTTAGGGAAGAATATAGGTACTTTGGATTAGGTAGAGGGGAGTGAAGGGAGGGGAGGAGTATGGGGGTAGGAAGGATAGTAGAATGAATCAGACATTATTACCCTAAGTACATATATGACTACACGACTGGTGTGATTCTACATCACGAACAACCAGAAGAATGAGAAATTATACTCCATTTATGTATGATGTTTTGAAATGCATTCTACTGTCATATGTAACAAATTCAACAAACTTTAAAAAAGACATAAAAATATTAACTGCCGCAGTCCGGCTGCAGCAAAATAACCGGGGGGTGACGAACAACCTGTGTACGTTGATACAGCAGGAGTAGGGGCCGTTTATTGCAGGACAGGAGCAGTATTTATACATTCCACACAGCTTATCTAATTAGCATAAACTAGATACATCAGTCAACCAATAAGGAATCTCCACACTTAATGGCTCGCTTTTGTTACTTCTCAAACCACTCCCTCTGGCATTTTGCCAGGCACCATCCAGACTTGTTTACGAACTTTAACATTCCCCTGGCAAAATGCCAGGTGTTATTTTGACTTGTTTACAGACTCTAACAATTAACCTTTTTTTTCTCTAATATTTTTGTTTTTACACTTAAAGCTGCTTCATCTGGGTTTTGTCATGTTCCCACTCTCCCTGTGGGGTTATATGGTTTCTTCAATGTGCTTGTTGTTATTTTAATCTGTTAGGTTGGGGGGGGGGTTGCTTCAATATTATATATTATAATATTCATCTTTTCTTCTACTGTTTTAAAAGTCTGTCTTTAGACATTCTCTTCTAGGAGAGAATGCTGCAAGAATTGATACCTGCCACTTATACAAAAAGGAACTCTTCCTGGTTTGGAGAAGTGACGGCAAAGCATATGGCTGCATGTTTAAAAAGATGTCTACGTTTGATTAAACTTCTTACTAAATTTTATATGTGGCAAGGGTGAGACAGGAAACACAAAAGTTCCTATGAAAGTTGAGAAAATGGGTTACACAATTTGTTGTTCCTATTGTCCTTTTTATTGAAGAAAGGTCATATATGTGAGAGAAGGGGTGGGGGGGTGTAGCTCAGTGGTAGGGCCTACGCACGCTAGCAGGCCCTGGTTTTGACAGCCAGTATCACCAGAGAGAGGCAGGGAGAGAGAGAGAGAGAGAGAGAGAGAGAGAGAGAGAGAGAGAGAGAGAGAGAGAGAGAGAGACTCTCAAATAGAGAACTAATCTCTATTTTGACCCTCTGTTTTCAACAGCTTGGT